CCACTGCACTCCAGTCTGGGTGACAGAGTGAGACTCCAACTCAAAAAAAAAAAGAAAAAGAAAAAGCAGATTACCAGCAAAATATTCAGGATGATCATAGCCTTATAAATACAGGGCATTTCGGGATCCGCCCGGGCAACTTGGCAAGACCTCATCTCTACAGTAAATCAAAAAAATTAGCCGGGTGTGGTAGCGCGCGCCTGTAGTTCCAGCAACTTGGAAGGCTGAGGTGGAAGGATCGCCAGAGCCCAGCAGGTCGAGGCTGCGGTGGCCGGGAGCGGCCACTGCATTCCAGTCTGGGTGACAGAGTGAGACTCCAACTCAAAAAAAAAAAGAAAAAGAAAAAGCAGATTACCAGCAAAATATTCAGGATGATCATAGCCTTATAAATACAGGGCATTTCGGGATCCGCCCGGGCAACTTGGCAAGACCTCATCTCTACAGTAAATCAAAAAAATTAGCCGGGTGTGGTAGCGCGCGCCTGTAGTTCCAGCAACTTGGAAGGCTGAGGTGGAAGGATCGCCAGAGCCCAGCAGGTCGAGGCTGCGGTGGCCGGGAGCGGCCACTGCATTCCAGTCTGGGTGACAGAGTGAGACTCCAACTCAAAAAAAAAAAGAAAAAGAAAAAGCAGATTACCAGCAAAATATTCAGGATGATCATAGCCTTATAAATACAGGGCATTTCGGGATCCGCCCGGGCAACTTGGCAAGACCTCATCTCTACAGTAAATCAAAAAAATTAGCCGGGTGTGGTAGCGCGCGCCTGTAGTTCCAGCAACTTGGAAGGCTGAGGTGGAAGGATCGCCAGAGCCCAGCAGGTCGAGGCTGCGGTGGCCGGGAGCGGCCACTGCATTCCAGTCTGGGTGACAGAGTGAGACTCCAACTCAAAAAAAAAAAGAAAAAGAAAAAGCAGATTACCAGCAAAATATTCAGGATGATCATAGCCTTATAAATACAGGGCATTTCGGGATCCGCCCGGGCAACTTGGCAAGACCTCATCTCTACAGTAAATCAAAAAAATTAGCCGGGTGTGGTAGCGCGCGCCTGTAGTTCCAGCAACTTGGAAGGCTGAGGTGGAAGGATCGCCAGAGCCCAGCAGGTCGAGGCTGCGGTGGCCGGGAGCGGCCACTGCATTCCAGTCTGGGTGACAGAGTGAGACTCCAACTCAAAAAAAAAAAGAAAAAGAAAAAGCAGATTACCAGCAAAATATTCAGGATGATCATAGCCTTATAAATACAGGGCATTTCGGGATCCGCCCGGGCAACTTGGCAAGACCTCATCTCTACAGTAAATCAAAAAAATTAGCCGGGTGTGGTAGCGCGCGCCTGTAGTTCCAGCAACTTGGAAGGCTGAGGTGGAAGGATCGCCAGAGCCCAGCAGGTCGAGGCTGCGGTGGCCGGGAGCGGCCACTGCATTCCAGTCTGGGTGACAGAGTGAGACTCCAACTCAAAAAAAAAAAAAAAATACAGGGCATAAAAAAATGGCCGATGATACCCCATGGAGTCCAAGAGGTTCATACTTGACCTCAGAAGTATATCTTAGACCAAGCTTGGGGGCTCACGTCTATAATCCCAACAATCTGGGGAGGCTGAAGCAGGAGGATTGCTTGGGTCCATGCGTTCGAGACCAGCCTGGGCAACACAGTGAGACTCCACCTCTACAAAACAGTTGCCATCATGAAACCCATTTTACAGACAAAGAGGCTTAGAGAAATTAAGTTACTAATTCAAGGGTCACACAGCTTGGCGTTGATAGAACCAGAATTCAAATCCAAATTCCTTCCAGCCTAGGCATCATAGACCTTGTCTCTACAAAAAAAATATATTTTTAAATTATCCAGTAATGGTGATGCACACCTATAGTCTCAGCTACTTGGGAGACTGAGACAGATGGATCACTTGAGCCCAGGAGTTCAAGGCTGTGGTAAGCCATGATCACGCTATTGCACTCCAGCCTGGGCAACAGAGTGAGCCTCAGATTCAGAAAAAAGAAAAAAAAAATTGTGTCCTAGTTTCATTCTTTTCACTCTATTAGGTGGCCTCAACACGTGAGGTGGGTAGAAGAACATTCCGGGCAGAGGACACAGCTTGAGCTGATGGGGGGGGCAGGTTGGAGGGGGTGGCAAGACGGGAGTGGGAGTGTTGGGCTAGGACTCAAGATGTGAAATTCGAGAGTCAATGCCCCCGAGCGTGGCCTCCTGTGCAAAGGCTGGGCTGAATTTCCACGGATTGGGAGGAGGAGCGGAGGCTGAAAATGCTGAGCCCTGGGTGATTTTCCAGGGGAACTGTCCCCACCCACTGGCTCTCAGGAGGGGCTCCGCCTTGAAGTCCCCCAGAGCTGTCGGAGCAGCAGTTTTGGGGTTGAAGCAGCCTGCATGTGGTGGTGTGAGTCTGTAGTCCCAGCTACTCAGGAGGCTGAGGTGGAAGGATCGCCTGAGACCAGGAGGCAGAGGCTGCGGCGAGCTGTGATCATGCCACTGCATGCCAGTCAGGGTGAAGGGTGATCATGAGGCCTTTCTGAGGTAGCCGAAGGCCCCCTAAGAAAAGGCCCTTTGAGATCGGGAGACAGAAGCCACCGGGAGGCCTCAGCCTCCCTCCCTAGAAGGAGACACAGTGTATCCCAAGCAGGCAGGTTGGGCTGGGACCAGAATGGCCCTGGCCCAGCAGCAGGGTCACCAGGTATGCCTCCAGTGCCCATCAGCACCATGTGCCAGTGGGTCCCTCACCGTCTACTGCCCACCTCCTCACTTTCAAGAAACCCAGGTTCAGACCAAGCGAAGTGGCTCACGCCTGTAATCCCAGCACTTTGGGAAGCCGAGGCAGGAGGATCGCTTGAGCCCAGGAGTTTGAGACCAGCCTGGGCAACATAGTGAGAACTCATCTCTACCAATAAATAAATAAATAAATAAAATTAGTGGGGCATGGTGGTGCATGCCTGTGGTCCCAGCTACTCAGGAGTCTGGAGAAAGAATGAGACCCTGACTCAAAAAAAAAAATTGTGAGGCCAGGTCACCCTCACTTCCTCTCTCCTCCTATGCCTACTTGGAACCCCTCCTCGGAAAACAATCTCCTCCTTGAGCTTGCCTCAAGATTGAAATAATAAAAATTTTAAAATAAAAGAAAATGATCTCTTCTAGAAATGAATAAAAGAAAGGTCAACAGGCTGGGCGTGTTGGCTCACGCCTATAATCCCAGCACTTTGGGAGGCTGAAGCAAGAGGATTGCCTGAGCCCAGGGGTTTGTGACCAGCCTGGGCAACTTGGCGAGACCTCGTCTCTACAATAGATCAAAAAAATTAGCCAGGCTTGGTGGCACATGCCTGTAGTCCCAGTTACTTGGAAGGTTGAGGCGGATGACTGGAGCCCAGCAGGTCTACACTGGGGTGGCCATGAGTGTGCCACTGAACTCCAGCCAGGGCGATGGAGTGAGACTCCAAGTCAAAAAAAAAAAAAAGAAAAAGGACAACAACAGGAAAATGGGCACAAAGCAGGAACCGGCACGTCACAGAGGAGGAAGCAGGCAGGACCCATAAACACATGAAAAGCATCCAGCCTCCCAGTGAGCAGAGAAATGCACAGTAAGGCCACAGGGAGACACACAGGGCACCCACTAGGTGGGCAACGATGAGGAAGTGTGGTAAGACGGTGTGTTGGTGAGAATGGGAACTGGCAGCTTCTCTGCCTCTTGCTGATGGGTCTGAGCTGGTACAATCACTTTGGAAGCCATTTCTGCATTCAGGACCCAGTAACGTCACTCCTGAGAGGTGTGTGGCTTTCTAACGTTTTTGTCTGAAGCCACAGTAACAAATGTCTTGTACACCACACACACACACACACACACACACACACACACACACACACAGCTGTGGGTTGAATTGTGCCCTGCTCAAAACAGTCCTAATTTCTAGTACCTCAGAATATGACCTTATTTGGAAATGGGATTCTTCCAAAGGCAATTAAGTCAAAATGAAGTCATCAGAGTGGGTCCTAATTCAATATACTGGTGTCTTCATTAAAAGGGGACATTTGGCCGGGCTTGGTGGCTCAGCCTGTAATCCTGCGCTTTGGGAGGCTGAGGTGAGTGGATTGCCTGAGCCCGTAGGCTCGAGACCCACCTGGGCCACTTGACGAGACCTCATCTCTACAATAAATCAAAAAATTAGCCGAGCGTGGTAGTGTGCACCTGTAGTTCCAGCTACTGGAAGGCTGAGGCAGAAGGATCACCAGAGCCCAGTAGGTCGAGTCTGCGGTGGCCAGGAGCGGCCACTGCACGCCAGTCTGGGCGACAGAGTGAGACGCCAACTCAAAAAAAAAAAAAAAAAACGGGGGACATTTAGTTGGCCAGGCATGGTGGTTCATGCCTGTAACCTCAGCACTTTTGGTGGCCAAGGCAAGAGAACCACTTGAGGCCAGTCTGGGCCACAAGTGAGACTCCATCTCTACCAAAAAGAGAAAAAATTAGCTGGGCATGGTGGTACACACCTCTAGTCCCAGCTACTCGGGATGCTGAAACCAGGAGGTTGAGGCTGTGGTGAGCTGTGATCCTGCCACTGTCCTCCAGCCTGGGCAACAGAGCAAGACCCAAACTAAAAACGGTGGGGGGACATTTGGACACAGGGAACATGTCATCTGAAGATGAGGGCAGGGATCAGGGTGATGCCTCTGCAAGACAAGGAGCGTCAAAGCTTGCAGGCAGACCGCCAGGTGCTGGGGGAGAGTCCGGGCACGGATTCTCCCTCCCAGCCCTGAGGAGGAACTGACCCTCCTGACACCTTGGCCTTGGACCTCTTGCCTCCAGAACTGTGAGACAACCCGCGTCCGTTGCTCATGCCCCTCAGCCCTACCAAACTAAGCCACACACATCTAGACACACACCTGCAACGAAAGTTGCCTCCAGGGCAGGAGCTGGAGAGAGCTGAGAGGAGCTTCTAGGAAGTTCTGGATGAGGGGAGGGGGAGAGAGGGAACCAGCCGGCTCCAAATGCCTGCAGTCTGTAAGCTCACAAGGGCTTCTCGCGACTGAATTTCGAGGCTTTGCGGACCTCTTCAGGGAGGGCTTTGGTGTCTGGCTGTCCCCATCTCACCTCAGAGAGGGTTGGGAACTAGCCCAAGGTCACAGTGGAAGTGGCGGAACCGGTAATCAGCTCTGGTGTTGCAGACACATGCCCGTGTTCTGGCAGCCACCTGACCCACGTGGATCAAAGCCCGCCTGACACCCACCCGCACGCCCACCTTCCGGGCTGATGAGACAGACCGCCCTCGACGCTCCAGAGACCGAAAAACTTCCTCCTTCGAGAATGCGCTGCTGCCTACGGTGTGAAGGCGCTGGGTGAGATTTCTTTTCTCTCTCTGCGTCCCTTCTCATGTGGTTGTGAGAATGTTTTTACAACAAGGATGACTCATGTTGACATCACATCTGAATCTTCAGCTAGAGCTGGGTGGGCACGACAGGGAAAGCGGGGAGGATGGAGACCAGCCATGACCTTGACCTAGCTAAGTCCCTGCCCTTTATAGGGCCTTAGTTTCTCCATGGTCAGATGGGTGGGTGGGGCCAGCTGGGGTCCGACTGCTGGAGCTGGGGGCGCTTTCCCAGCTCACCACAGCCTGCGGGAGGTTTCTGACCACAAAGTGCTTCCCCCACAACACACCCCCCACTGTCCCCACAGCCTGCACCAACCGAAACCTTTCTCCAGTTAGGAAAAGGTTTCCCAAGCCAGGCCTGGGATGAAAGTCAATCGAAGATATGAGATTCAGCTGGGCATGGTGGCTCAAGCCTGTAATCCCAGCACTTTGGGAGGCTGAGGTGAGCGTATTGCCTGAGCCCGTGGGTTCGAGACCCGCCTGGGCAACTTGGCGAGACCTCGTCTCCACAATAAATGAAAAAATTAGCTGGGCATGGTAGCGTGCGCCTGTAGTTCCGGCTACTTGGATGGCTGAGGTGGAAGGATCTCCTGAGCCCAGCAGGTCGACGCTGGGGTGGCCGTGGGTATACCACTGCACTCCAGCCTGGGCGACAGAGTGAGACTCCAACTCAAAAATAAACAAAAAAAGATATGATTCCATGGTATTGATTCACACAGTAAGCACACTATTTCTTGTTCAATTTTCTTTTTTTTTTGAGTTGAAGTCTCACTGTTTCCCATGCTGGAGTACAGTGGCATGATTATGGCTCACCATGGCCTCCCCCTCCTGGGCCTAGGGGGATCCTTCTGCCTTAGCCTCCCAGGCAGCTGGGACTACAGGTGGGACTACATCAGCTTTTTTTTTTAAAAGGCTGGGTCTCTAGGTCTCGCTAAGTTGCCCAGGCTAGTCTCAAACTCCTGGGCTCAAGTAATTCTCCCGCCTTGGCCTCTTAAAGTGTTGGGATTATAGGTATGAGCCACCATGCCCAGCTCCCTTTTCCAGTTCTTTTTTTTTTTTTTGAGTTGGAGTCTCACTCTGTCACCCAGACTGGAGTGCCGTGGCCGCTCCCAGCCACCGCAGCCTCGACCTGCTGGGTTCAGGCGATCCTACGAAGTAGCTGGAACTACAGGCGCGCACTACCACACCCGGCTAGTTTTTCATTTATTGTAGAGATGAGGTCTCGCCAAGTTGCCCAGGTGGGTTTCGAACCTGCGAGCTCAGGCAATCCACTCACCTCAGCCTCCCAAAGGCGCAGGATTACAGGCTGAGCCGCCGAGCTCTTTAGGCCTGACTATATTAAGAAGAAAACCTCATTGTGGTGCTCTTGCCTTTAACACTTGATACTTTTTAACAAGGGAACGCTGGCTCTGGCTGGCTGGCTGGCTGAGGCTTGGACAGCAGGCTCACTAATGCCACTTTTGTTTTTAGTGTTTTATTTACATGGATACATTCTAAGTATTGAAGTAGTATTGGTAGTGATACAATATTTCTAGGTTTAATTAAACTACCTGAAATGTTAAAAAGGAGTTCGTGTAAAAAATATTGTAAAACAGGCCAGGTACAGTGGCTTACACCTGTAACCATAGCCCTTTGGGAGGCCAAGACTGGAGGATTGCTTGAGTACAGATTTCGAGACCAGCCTGGGCAACATAGCAAGACTCTGGCTCTACAAAAATAAAAAAAATTAGCCAGGCATGGTGGCAAGTGCCTGTAGTCCCAGCTACTAGGGAGGCTGAGGCAGAAAGATCAACTGGGTCCAGGAAGGCGAGGCTGCGGTAAGCCATGATTGTGCCACTGCACTCCAGCCTGGGTGACAGAGTGAGACCTAATTTGAAAAAAAATATTGTTAAATAATTGCATATGCATAAAGGGCAAATCAGATCACATCCTTCATGCCAAAATTCTCTACTGATTTCCCATTTCCCTTGGAGTAATTCCAGTCTCCGTGATCTGTGCCCCCAACCCCTGTCAATATTTCCACCTCCACCCCTCTGAAGTGTTCCATAGCCTGTCCACCTCATTCCTGCTTCAGGGCCTTTGCACCTGCTGTTCCCCCTGCCTGGAATGTCTTCCCCCTGATCTCAGCACTCCCAGCTCATCTCACCAGGCAGGCCTCCGCTCAGATGCCCCCAGAGGCCCTCCTGGGCCTCTATCCCCATCACTTGCGCTCCCCTGACCTGGCTTAATTTCCCTTGTTGGGCGTGCTCCTCTCTGAAATGATACTATTTTAAAAATGTGTCTACTTGTTTTTCTATGCTCCCCGTTAGAATACAAGCTCTTTGAAGACTGAGGCTTTGTCCAACATCCCCAGTGGCTGAAACATTGCCCAACACACCGTCATAGCTCAACAAATGAATGACAGAATTCGGAAAGATGGAGGGAGAACTCACCCTGGGGTGGACTCCAGATAGAGGCTGAGCAAGATGGCCGCCACCAGAAGCTCAACAAGGGGGAGCTCAAGTCTCGCCCTCATGCGTTCCAGCCTACAATGCGCCGAGACACCTGCCTCCCACCTGCTGAGCCGGCAAAGAAACCAAGTAGTCACGACAAAAGCAACGATGGAAGGAAAACACTGCCATCAGGCAACCATCGTTAGAATCACTGATTCAGGCGACAATCATCGGTACTGTTACAACTAGTGGGCAAAGGTCTGAGGAAGACCAAAGTATTTACACGTCCCCAAGGAATCTACCCATCAGGTGCATGTTAATTACAAAGGCGAAAACAGTGACTTTACAGTGTAGAAGGCTAACAAACAGCACTTTAGCCCAGACGAGTCAGACCACCAGTGAGAGCACAAGCTGAGCCCACATGCCTCCTGACATGGTACACTAAGGAGGATACCAATCATGGTTTTTATCTAATCACGAAGAATCATCAGAAAAACCCAGGTGAGGGACATTTTACAGAATCACGGACCTGTAGGCTTCAAAAAGTTCAATGTCAGGCCGGGCAGGTGGCTCATGCCTATCATCTCAGTGCTTTGGGAGGCTGAGACAGGAGGACTGCTTGAGCCCAGGAGTTTGAGACCAGCCTGGACAGCATAGTGAGACTTCGGCTCTACAAAAATCAAAAAATTAGCCAGGCATGGTGGTGCACGCCTGTAGTCCAAGCTACTCTGGAGGCTGAGGCTGGAGGATCACCTGAGCCCAGAAGGTTGAGACCGTGACGACCCATGATTGTGCCACTGCCCTCCAGCCTGGGTGACTGAGTGAGACCCTAACTTAAAAAAAAAAAGTTTAATGTCAGGCCTGGTGTGGTGGCTCATGTCTATCATCCCAGGGCTTTGGGAGGCTGAGGAGGGAGGATTGCTTGAGCCCAAGAGTTTGAGGCCAGTCTGGGCAGCGTAGTGAGACCTCATCTCTACAAAAAATCAAAAAATTAACCAGGCATGGTGGTGCACACCTAGAGTCCAAAGTACTCTGGAGGCTGAGGCGGGAGAAACGCTTGAGCCCAGAAGGTCAAGGCTGTGGTGACCCATGATTGTGCCACTGCCCTTCAGACTGGGTGACTGAGTGAGACCCTAACTAAAAAAAAACAGCTCAATATCAGGCTGGGCATGTTGGTTTGTGTCTATCATTCTGGTGCTTTGGGAGGCCAAGGCGGGAGAATTGCTTGAGCCCAGGAGTTTGAGACCCTAACTCAAAAAAAAAGTTTAATGTCATAAAAAAGAAAAAAATCTGAGAAACTGTTCTAGATGGAAAAAGAATAAAGAGACATGAGCATTAAATGCAGAACACTGGATGGAATTTTCTTTTTGCCGTAGAGGATATTATTGGAACAACCGGCAAAATCTGAACAAAGTCTGAAGCTTAAGCATACAAACAAAAATAAAACTGGGAGAAAAAGATGGCAGAGCCTGAGGCCTGGAGGGGCTGTTGGCCAAGCCAGGCACGGTGGCTGCTCAACTTGGCCACGCCGGGCCAGGGCCGTCCCTGCCATCTCACCGTGCAGGTGGGGAGCCGGGCCGGTTCCTGGCCCACCTAGGCCTGCCCACACCCTGCCCCTGTGACCTTGGGCACCCCGCTCCCCACTCTACACCTCGCTTTCCTCCTCTGGCAAGGAGCAGGAGATGACTGGCAGCTCCCCGGGGTTTCTTCCAGCTCAGCTGCTGTCATGATATTTCTAGAATCCCATCAGGCAGAGCCATGCACACATCTCCAGGGAGCTTAATTTGCTCAGCGAGTGTGTTTCCTTTAGTGGAAGGAAGGGGGACAAAGCAAGGCTCACTGAGCAGAGTGGGGGAGCAGGCCTCCTCCTAGTCCCGGGGGGCTCCCCACCTCCGCTCCCAACCCCACCCACTCCCAGGCACCCCTCCTGGAATTGGTGAGCATTCTAGCCAAAGTATGCTGAAGTACAGATAAAAATCCTTCTCCCAGCCTGGGCATGGTGGCTCACGCCTGTAATCCCAGCACTTTGGGAGGCCAAGGTGGGAGGATTGCTTGAGCCCAGGAGTTCAAGACCAGCCTGGGCAACATAGTGAGACCTTGTCTCTACAAAAAAATTTTTTTTAATTAGCTAGGTGTGGTGGGGTGCACCTGTAGTCCCAGCTACTTGGGAGGCTGAGGCAGAAGAATCTCCTGAGCTCAGGAGGCAGAGGCGGTGGTGAGCCATGATCGTGCCCCTGCACTCCAGCCTGGGGAACAGAGTGAGACCCCGACTCAAAGAAAAAAAAATCCCTTTCCCCAAACCCCATTTA